AAGCATTGGGTTCATCATGTGCCTGGTCTCCAACCTCGCGGAAGATGCTAATCGCTTCCTTCGAGGCAGTGAGAGCCTGCCAGTATGAAAAGCTGCCAAGGAAAGGTATGGTTCCTTTGAGGCCTTCTGTAGCCTTGGGACTGCAAAAAAGGACCTCTCTTCTTTTGGAAACCTAATCCCTAGAAATCACCATGTGATCCTCGTGGCCATTTGATTTCCATGTCCTCTTTCATTTGAGTATTCTGAGCTTCGGGATCCCTAAATTCTGAACTCCAGCCACATCCATGTATCCCCTATGAGGCCTTAGGATTTTTGGGATACCCTACTTGGAGGATCTCTTGACTTGGTGAGTCTACTTAGTAACTTGGGTTGTAGGGCTTATAATAACAGGCTATCAGGGATAGTTTGCCTAGTGAAACGAAAACCCAAGGAAGCCCTAAACCTTGGCGGTGTGTTTAATCCTCTGATCTCTGGCTCTCGGCTGGCTCTAGCCTCGACGTGCTCCTCGCGCGCCTGCTGCACCTCTCCAGAGAGCCCAAGAACCCCTTACCTAAGGAATTTATACCCTGAATGATCCTAAAAACCCTATATGATTTGCACTTTAAAGTATATTCGTTGATTCAGGGGTTTTGAGCTCCCTGCGTGTGAGGAGGGTTTACCTAGAACCCCAAGTACTAGTTCTAGAACCCAAATAACCACAAACAGGCATCTTAGGGTAGTTGAGGGGCAACCCTGTCTGACAGCTCTCCAGTCAAGTGCCTGTCGGACTCACTTACCTGCAGCCTCCATACATCATGCAGAGTTTCGAGGAATTCAGGCTTCCGACATACCCCAAGAGTCTGCAGAATCTACGTCACGGGGGCCCCCACCTGAACTGAAGCCATGTTTCAAATGGGCTGGGTTAGTCAGAGCCCTTGGTCCTTTCCACAGTCTCCATGATTAATGGGGTCAGACGACCGCATCTCGTCTCAATTGAGGACGCCGTCCACATGAAAGTGCAAAAGACCAACCTCTGAAATCCATATACGGTGGGGGGGGTAACTAGAATGTCGCATAATTCCTTGGCGCAAATTCCCTTGTGGGGCCTGAGGTATAGGATTTAGAGTTCCAAACACGAGGAAGCCTTCCCCGGATTCCCAGACATATGAGCCGTAGTCTAAACGTCCACCAAGCGGTGCATCTGACGGTGGAGTCTGAAAACTGGCATGACTGTCGCAAGGTTCGTCGCTTTTCGTAGCTCGACTAATACGAATGCCTAAAGACATAGCATAGGCCTTCAGCTCCCAGATATATGAGCCATAATGTTGCACCCGCTTATGGGCGGCTACCCGCTTTCATGTCAAGCTCCGGGGGGGAATTCAGGACCGGGAAATGTTTGGGGTACCTGCTATAACGTCAAGTTTTGGAGGGTAAAAATCATAGGTTTGAACACATAGAACATCTAGTTTAGATTAGAAAATTCTTGTTCGTGAAATAAGGTCAGAGCGTAAGGGTGCCTAATCCCTAAAACCTGGCTAGCAGTAGCAATAGTACGAAAACTACTATATACTTCTACCATTAAGTTTTTCAGCTCAGACCCTCAAACAATTTTGATTGAGGACGCCCGAAATTGTTTGGGGAGGGGGGGGTGACCCCCCGCCCCCCCCACGCTAAAGCGGAGGCAACATTAGTCTAAACTCCTGGTACGGTATCCCCCTTAATAACTCCGATACTTGCTACCTATATATTACATTCCCCTAGTATACGCTTCAATCTCTGAAGAGCAGGATTCATTACTTCTACTATATACCCCTAGAAAGCCCGAAGCCCCAAGCCCGGGACCCAAAATTTGGAGCCCAAAAAGGTCTCAGTCTACATGAAAAAGCAGAGGCCCTAGTCTAGTTGTAAGTCCTAAGTTAAGCCTCAAGCCCACTTGCCTGGGCTAAGGACTCCAAGGCGTGGCCCTCGAGCTTCCGCTTCTTCGCTCTCCGGGCGGCCTTCACGGCCTGTGAGCGGAAAGCATACGAAATAACTCCGACATTAAGCAGGTGTTCTGAGAATAGGACGAGCTCTTAAGATCAACTTTGGAGCAGATGAAGGCAAGGTGTTGTTTGGGGTCATTCGAAACTTCGACGCTTTCAACCTTTGGATGGATTTGTGAAACTTGTGGCTTCTGGATCACCCCAAAACTTCGTATCATGTGCAAATTGTCGGAACCCAAAGTTGCAGCACTGACATCCCCAAAGCCACAGCTACTGGTGCCTCTTGCGCCAATGGTAGCGCACTATCAGGAGCCTGGCGACAGCAGCTGTCAAGCAAGCACAGAGCAAGAGAGGCTGAAACTGCGAAGACGACCAACTTATGAATCTCCGCCTGCGCAGAGTTTTACTCTCAACAAACCGTACACGGTTTGAGCTAGCCAAAACACAACCTGAGCAAGGTTGGCTTGCAAAAGCCACCCTGATGTGTCCAAAGGCTCAAATGCTTGCGCGGTCTTCCGCCTCAAGCTCCAGATAGGTCTGGATTTGCACTTCTAGCCTTGGATATGCTGCATGTAGTGCTTCTTTCGGCCTCTGGAATATGTGTGTGTGCCTTTTGCAGCAGAGCCAATGATCTGTTGGCCCGCTCAGGATACCCGCAGCTGCTAACCCTGAGACTCCCTGACTTTTGCAAGGGCAGGGCATCTCGAGGAGATTCTCCAGGTCACCCTCCCTGCGCCACCTGTCGGCCTGACAGAACAAGTGGGTAGTTCCCAAGATTAGGGTCCCTTTTGGGTACCCTCAAAGACCATGTGCTGTGATGTAATCTATAACCAAAAGGGGCTGGGAACTACCCAAGTGTATGCTCCAGTTTAGTTTGCTTAACTGCGTGGCCCTGAGAACGCCTTACATGGCTATCGCCCTACCCACGCATTTTCTGCTACTGAACCAATCAGAGCCATGGCATCAGTCCAGTTACAGAAGCACCCGCTCGAGATCACTCGGGAGCCGTAGCTTAGGCTTCACAAGCTGCAGCCTCTCCAAGAACATCAAGTTTAGCATCCACCCTGAAATACCCCACATAATCACCGTGTCCATTAAATTTTTCATTAGCCTTGATATACTATAGTTTCCATGTTCTTTTCCACTATCCCTAACATATACTATGGTTCCCATTGTCTTTCCATGTTCTTTTCCCTTCGCCCTACGCGGGGTTTACATTAGGTAGACCCCCCACCCAATAATAGTGACTATAATGGATAGTGGGGATTATATTAGGACCCTCTTATATTCCTACTATACCACTATTAGGGTGGGGAGGTCCTCCTGAGGTGTCCTGAGCAAAGCTGCAAGGCCGTCTGGGGCCCACGCCGCTTCTGCAGCCAAGGTGATGGCCTCGTTGGTCCTCAAATGCCGGGTCCAAAGGGGGTACCTTCAAAGGGCGTATCGGGGTTATATAGGGTTTAGGGTAGTTCCCAAAATTAAGGTCCCATTTTGGTACCCCTAAATATTGGTGCCCGCAATATAATCCATCATCAAGAGGGGCCCATAGTTTGAGAATAACCCAAATGCCAGGTTCAAGGCTTGATTGCAGGGCTTCCCGACTTGTTCCCTCACGTGGTCCCGATCCCAAGTCTGCCTTCAACAGCCCGCTGTTCCGGACTCGGAATGTCTGGGCGTGAGGATTGTCTGATCTGCTTCGCCTAGAAGCACCCCCAACGAAAGCCTGGAACTGGGAGACCACCCACATCTCGCATCCCTCAAAAGTAACCCTAAGGGCCCAAGTACCCAAATATTGGAGTTTAAAACATTGCTCTTAGGGTAATTGGACCCTTTAGGCCCTTCGGGCAAGTTTAGGGTCCCAACTGCAAACACAATGTATGGGACCTACAGTGATGCCCATGCATGATGGCCACACCTGGTAATTTCCACAAATTTTGCGGCCCCAATATACACCCTAAAATACTAGATTCCTCACTCTTGAGCCCCGCCGCGAAAAAGTTCCTCCATTTTTTGGAAACCCTCTCTTTGGATTTTACAGAGGGGGAGCAGCTCAGACCGGGACTCTTTCAGCAGGACGTGTCCCCGGATCGCATACTTGGTGGCCTTTGTGCTTGTGGTTGTCTCACAAAGCAGAGAGAAACTGAGGTACCCGATGGATTCCCAGGCAGATGTCAGTACACCTCCCTGCTGTAGGCTTGCCTCCACCTGAGCGGGCCCTTACCGCCCAACCCATGGGTTCTCTGTTGGTTAGTTGCTGCAAATACCTCCGAAAAAGGACCACAAATCTCACACCGGTACCTAGGTCTTTCAGCTGCCATGATGATCTTGACTCTTTATTGCTTGATCGCCATAGAGCTCTCAAATATACCGCTGCTCCTGTAATCCACCACGCCGGCTGATACATAGCCAGTTCATTCCAGCGCGCAGATAAAGGCAGAGACATGATTCGGTTGAAGCTCTCGTCCTGCACATGTCTTTCGTTGCCCTGCTTACCAGCGCGATCACTGAACGAGGCAAGCAAACAGAAAAAGCTTTTATGCCAGCTGAGGTCTGCACTGCCACCATGCGGCCTGGCTGCTTACATCTGGCTCTATGTCATCAGTGTTCAGCTTGTAAGTACTATACCTCATGCTGCAATGTAGCGAGACAGGGCTCGAGCCAGAGACCCACAGGACCTATCTCACCTTATCCTGGCATTCCACGTGATAGCATATGGCAAGGACATATGGCCATGGGCAACTGCAGCAGAGACCCACCACATTCCAAGGCTCCTATGGGATCAGCGATCAAAATTTGAACTGGACTAGAATTCTTACACGGACCTCTGTGATCTGCTTCTACAATCCTGATCCCTATAGATCCGTAGGGTAAAGGCACATAAACTTCGAGGAACTCCCCGATGGGGGCTCAAGATAGACGACGACATATTGTAGTCCTTACACAAATTAGTAGGTCCTCCTAAAAGGACCTAAAAACTCCCATATATCTTTACATATCCTTACCATTGTTCCGTGCTCAGTCATTCTGCTGGCAAGCCGCGTCTGTCATTCAGCTCCTCAGCGATTTCGAGGGCCTGGTCCAACCAAAGCGGCCATAGCTACTCTGAATCTTTGACTTTTTTCACGTAACACTAGTAATCACTAGTAATGAGTATGGCTAATCAGGATGATCATACTGATAGTAATATGGGCAAGAATGTGCGTGCCCAGGGCTAATGCTCCCTCCTGAGACCAGCAAGGAGCCGCTGGTATTTTCTCTATAAGGCATTCTTGACGGTTGCTCAGAACCTTGTTGAACATAGTACCCCTTAAGTAGATAACATATGGTTTTGGGTATATCTTAATAACATCCCCATATACCCCATATTCTCCATATTCTATCTACTTAAGGCGGACTATACCTCTCTCTGTGAAGATGGAGTCTAGTGACGGTACTATAAGCAGAATCCAGCGTTTCAGGTTTAGGGTTCATGTCTTCAAAGAGCATGGTTTCAGTTAAGAATGGTTCAAGTTGCCCACGCCCAAATTGCCAGGACTTCCCCAAAACCTTCACCGAGCCACCTGTGTACCAAGGAAGATTTATGCGCCAAGGCCTTCTCTGACATCCAGGCATGAGATTTGGTAGTTTCCGTAAATAGGAGGACCCCAATATCGACCGCAAAATACTACAATCCTCATATATGGGGACCCCCAAAATGATACACCCCCACGTGACAAGGCCAGTGAAGTCCTCCTGATGCTCCCGGTCCCTCTCCTACGCAACTTCTTGCGGCTCCTGCAAATTACTTAGCATGCGCGCATTGCAGCCGTTTCCTCACATATTATTCTTACATCAGGACCGTACGTCCTGGAATCTTTCCACTCGCCCCGCCTTATTGGCAGACTCGATGGCTTGAGCGGCAATCTCCTGCGAGGTTGAGATGCAAAGCACGGACTCCGGCTTAATAGCCGGCTCGCGTCTGCGCTTGCGCTCAGCATGCCCTTGCCTGCTTGGTAGGCATAGCCTGCCAGCAAGGAACCCCTTTTGAGCATGGCCTTCTTTAAACTTCCCTACTTCTCGTGACAACCTTTTTTTGCGCCACGCTCAAGAGGCGGTCATTGCGATAGACCTGCCCAGGAGCTGCTTTGACATGGCTGGCTTAGCTCTGGACACGAAGACATGAAGCCAGCCCTTCTCTGTAGATGATCAATTGGCACTGGCTCCCATATATTGGGGGTATATTGGGGTTATACAGGGATAATGGACAAGAAAATGGAAACTACTGTAGTATATTGGGTACCTGCTAGCAACTGAGGTCAGCAGAGAGACGTTGGTGTGATTGCAGTGCACGCCTTCTTCTGCACAGGGCTGCCCAAATAAAAAAAAAGTCATGCAAAGCATTTTTCTGGAGCCAATCCTGCATGACAAGGAAATGCAACAGATTTGGAGGTACATGCGGGCTTGCAACGGATAAGCTGGACGGCGAGAAAAGAATACAAAAGCTCCGACGCCAGTCAAACGCGATTGCGAAACCGCAGCCATGCACCATCTGCTAGAGTTCAAGGAGCGTAGAGGAGGCCGACAAAGAGTGCAAAGCTTGATGATTATGATGATGATGATGATGATGATGATGATGATTTCAAGGACTTGTGACGCCACTGCATGCTAACCTGGCTGCCCCTCCGTCCGACTTTCATTCGAAGCTTGAAAAAACATTGTCAATTTGAACGCTGTATAATCCTTTTGCTTCAAACAGGGCTTGGGCTATCGTTGTCTTCAAAGGAATTACACAGCCACTCGCTGTGGCATGCAGAAACAGTTCCACACGGGTAAGGGGCATCTTCGGAAGCGTCGTGGCTTCTGAGCCTCAATTTCGGGATCCTCGTTTCTGTGGTCGTTTTTGAAGCGTTCCACGGCTCTCAGGCGGAGCATCCACACATTTAGAGTGCTAGTGAGGTGTGTTTGGAGCCTTGGTCTGCTTCTGCAGCTCCGAGAATGCAAATTACTGGCCATGCACTCTCTAGATTGCATGGCGCCTGCGGAGCGCAGCATTCCAAGCCCAGGGTCACCAGCGTGGCCAGGAGCAGAATCAAAGGCCTCGTGCAAGTATGGGCACACCATGCTAGCGGCATGGTTCTTTTTCTGCTGCCATGCATGTTGCGTCTTACGGAGAACCCTTACTCTCCCATACCAGCTACAACAACCATTGACCAAACACAGCTGTGCTTAGAGCTTTCGGGGAAAAGCCATCCTGGTCTGATTTTCTGACCTGCTTTGCGCCGCTTGCTCCACGACATTGGCCGAAAAGGCTAATGCCAAGGCATCCAGAGCCACCTGGCAACAAGAGGGTTGTCCCCAGAATTGGGATCCCATTATGGGTACCCCTAAATAATAGGTGCCGTAATGTAATTTATACCCAAAAGGGGTCCATAATTTTGAGAATCACCCATGAGAGGCTCGACCAGTCCCTCCTTCTGGCCACTTGCCACGTTGTCCGCATCAGCATGAGTAGACTGGTGGCTAGACTTGTAAGGGCTACACTTGAAAGAACTGGAAGTGACGCACCGTGAGCTCCAAGCAAAACCACACACCTTTCAAGCCTTATTTCTACGGGCTGAAACTGCCCTAGCTTCCCCACTTTGACCAACATGAAAGGACTTGTTGGGGCCTATCCTTGATCTGAACATTCGGGCCCTTTGTGGACGTCCGTCCTTCGGAAGCAGCATAGGAGCTGTCATGATCCACATACTTGTTCCAGGGGAGGCCAAGTGGAGGCCCATGCTTTGAAAACCTGCCTGCGCCCTCTGCGCTGCTGTCAGCAGCATAAGAGCTCTTTGCCAGCTTCCCGATAGACAGGGGCCGAAGCCTCAATTGCTTCAATTGGATTTGGTGCCCACAAGACCCATCACTGCCATTATTTTGGAGCTAGATGTTGCTATTCTGCTTCTTTTTTTTTCTCGGAAGCTGCTTAGAGAGCCGCTGTAATGTATCACTATTGGTACAAATGACAACTCCTGGTCAGTGTACAACGTTAGCATTTCTGTTGGCTCGTTCTCTTGAATCGAACGTCATGACGCATTATTAGTACCACTGCTGCTACTACTAACACTACTACTACTACTACTACTTGTGAAGCAGTCTAACTGGACTTGCA